CATGATGCAGACTCCTGTTAAAAATAACAAAGGGTTTCTCATCATGGTACAGCTGTATGTATTACCCATTTTAACATGCTGCATAATACAGAACAAATATCCAATTGCACTGCTGGCAGTATCTTCATAAAACAGATTGCTTGTGTCAGTTGTTAAGCCAATGCTTCTTACAGTATTTTAAGGTGCAATGTAAGCCTTATAATACAGTACAAAGAAAACTGATGCAAATTAATGTCAGATTAAACCATTAGCATTTGCGTGTGCGTTATGACGTAACACTCGTGTGTTAATATGAATACTGATGCTGCTACTACTACTACTAATCTGAAAAACAGATTAGATGCAAAATGGTTGTAATTAATTGTTTTATTACAATTTACCCCAGTGACAGCCATGTAAGCTGCATGAATTTGTCTCAAATTATACAATATGATTTGGCAGCAGTAGGGGAACCATTCGTGTGCTCAGTTGATAAAAAAGAAATCAATGAATTTTGATTGCATACTACAGAAGCCCTGTAATGGACTTGGCAGTAAGAGCTGAACCTTCAGATGAATAACCCAGTGTGTGAGTTTTGCATGTGTCCCTGTAGATATAAAAATCCTGTACAGGTCTGACAGCTTTGTCCCTGGTGGCAACGGCACTGTGAGGTCACAGGGTTAGCTGCCCCATCAGTTTTCCAGTCAAAGGTATTTATACACAGCCTTGGAGAGCAGAGATACCATCTGGCCATCTGTTGTCTAAAGCGTGATTAAAGCCAAAGTCACTCAGAACTACAGTGGTGAAATGCATTTCATCTTACAGTGATGATGACGCTATCGAAATTATTGATTCAATGACACCTACATTTCAATTAGCCTAGGAAGCCAACAGATTTAGTTTCTTGCAATTTTGACATCTTCCCAGTTTCTTGGTCTTGTGAGAAGGAAGCATGTAATCAATTCTCAGTTATTAATAATTATCATTGGGATTTATGAGTTTCACCTGACTGCGTATTTTGGAGTCACAGAAAAGCCGAAAATACTCCCCTCACACACGGAGCGGGGAGAGTAACGACACCCCAATGCTGGAGGTGTGAGACGACGCCATCTCCCCCCACCACCCCTGCTCCTGCACATTCACTTACCTGCATTTTTTTCCATTTACATTGGCTCACTGCTCACTTTTTGGGATGCAGTTGGGTGATGCACTGGCTCACTGCTTACGTGATTTCTCCCTGTCATATGGATTTCCTTTTTGGGATGCAGTCAGGTTTGTTGACGGTTCTAACGGTGTGTGCGCTGCCCTGTGATAGGTTCGAATGCCCCCCAGTGCTTCCCCTGTCTAACGTTTGATTGGCTCCTGGATGACTGCAACCCAATACTAGATAAGAAGAATTAGGTTTCTTTGAAAGGCTGCTTATGTCATGGAAAGAGGTTTTCTGCCAGTAGGGTTTGGGGATCCAATTTTTGCAATAATCAGTAACCAAAAATAACCAGAGGAATCATATCAGGTTCTGTGAGCACCTGTATGCATGGGATCCAGGCCTGTCACCAGCCAGGGATTACTTCCGACTGGAGGGGTTCAAACTCAGCAACTGGCTATATACCTCTTTGTGTGGGGTGGGATTCAAACCCATAATTTTTCTACGTGCAGGTTACGTGCCAGGTGGGCCTATATAATCTAAATAATCAGTTAAAAATCCGTATTAGCTAAAATGTAGCATTGACAATTAACTAAAGGTCTAAACTCCAAACTTGGGTAGGTGGAATAAAGAAAAGGAATGTATAATATTAATGTGAAGGAGAGTAAAAATAGATTAGGCCATGTCAGGGAAATCAGAAAGGACAAGAGTTTGTTGGAGCTACCAACACAATCAATTACCTTGCGGTAAGATAAAAACAAATAATTTCCAATACAATTAGGGCAAAGTATTTCGATGATAAGGCATGCTAAAAGCTGAGATTAATTCTTACCCTTCTGTTGGGAAAACAAATACAGGGGCGATAAATCTGCGTGATTTGCGGGTACTGCGTGCGTTTGTGCCTGTAAGTGCGCGGGCGCACTGGAGTCGGAGCGCGAGCGCCGGCGATAAAATGCAGCAGCTGACTCGGCGCTGTTAATGAGCGCGGTCATTCCTAGGCTGCGCTGTCACTGTGCCCTTGGAGTTGAGTGATGTCCAGCAGGGCTGTTAGGAGTCATTAACAGGCTGTCTGAACCCTGGATAATGTGCAATTCAGCTCTCACGACTGTCCTCCGGAAGAGTCCAATAAACCGGATCCTTTATTGCCCCGAAGATTTTCCCCGTAGGACTTACTTTTGATATTTATACAAAGACTACTTTTGGTATAATGAAACACAACCAGTAAGAGATATTTTGGCATGAAATTGTAATCAATTTCACATCTTTTATTGGCTTTAGTGGAAGCAAACTAATTGGTTCTTTCTACCTTAATGGCACCAGTTATTCAGATATTAAACTTTATTTGTAATCCTTGAGGTATACCTTGCTTCATTGGGGTTATATAGTAGATTGAAGATAATCTTTGTCTAATTTTTTTTTCTTCAGTACTTTTTAATTCTTGTGGATTTAAAGAATTTTAAGTGTAAAATGAGATTACACTGTTCAATGACTTTCCTGGGCCAAGTTATTCAATGAATGTCAGCATCTCAAAGATCTTTAAAAGGTCACCGGTGCAGCGTACGAGATTCAAACAGCATTACCCAAATTAAAGAGCAAAGCTGACTCTCTATTACCTTTTGAACCTCTCTAGCCAATCAGAAAAGCTGCTATGCTTTTCTGATTGGCTAGAGAATCAGATGGGCAGACTGAATGACATCATACAATAATGTCATTATTATTCTTCCCAGTGAAATAAATCACATGGGCAGACTGAGTGACATCATAAAATAAAAAAACGATTACACTTCCTGAATAATGGTGCACGGTGCATAAGAATGTGCATAGCGTCTTGTATTTCCAAAAGACATTTGCTAAAATTCCAAGCTCCACTCATATTCCATAGCCTGTTAGAAAGGTAAACTTTAACCTAATAGTTTCTGATTTGATTGCGAGTAGAAATTAAGATTTATAATTTCTTTTATTTGTTTGCTTATTTATTCCAAACTGTACCTTACATTACATTCACAACATTTCCAAATTAAACTTGGCAACTTTTCTTGTTTCTTTTTGTTGAAACAATGGATCAGTTTGGCAGTGTTGTATAGGCTACCCCACCATTTAGGTGATTGACAGCCTTCGGCAGCTCACCCAACGAAAAAATATTTTCATAAACAAATGGTTATAAAGAAACAAAGTGTTTGAAATTGCGTGCTAAATATATTAGTCATAAGTTGCAAAAACTGTCCCGTACCAAAACCTGACAGCCTCACACCTAACCACACGAATTAATTAATCTTGCTTTTGATGTAGGAGTTTGCATGCATATACTGCATAAAACACCATTTTATACCTAACACTTTTGTCACGGAAGCTTAATGACAACGCGGAATTTATCTCAGCTTTGGAAATCCAAATCACTAAATAGCCTATATTAACCGCACAACTGAATTACTCTTTCTTTAACTTCCAAGCCGTTAGAAGATGGATGGATGGATGGACGGATGGATGGATGGATGGATGATATGGACTTTCTTGAAGAAGACTGTCTCCATCTAGCGGTCACCTCTATTTACTGATTAATAAATTCAGACATTTTCCTGTTTTCGAAGGTTAATGATGTGAAGGTTAATTATGTTTATTCTACGCAACCCTGGCTCTTTCGTTGTATGTTTTGTGTACATGTTTAATCAATATAGTGTTTCTCAAACCAGTCCTCGCGGGGATCCCCAGACCGCCTATGTTTTTGCTCCCTTTCAACTCTCAGGGAACTAGGAGGGAACAAAAACGTGCACCGCCACGTTCCCGAGGGCTGGTCTGAGAAACTAGCTGCTTTAGTAGGTATCGTGGTGCTAGATAACTTGGTCTCCTACTTAAACAATCGAAAACCAATTTCACAATTTCTCTATATTCCGTCCTAACTGTTTTCTTGTTCTCAAACCTAACCATTTTTAAGGAAGTTAAATTGAAATTTGATTTGTAAATTATAAAGATATGAATTTTCCCATGCATTTGTATCCACCTATGAATTTAGATTGAATAAAGGAAACCCAATTAAAATTTCCAATTTTCAAAGCATTTGCATTGATCAATCAACATTAGTCTAAGCGTATAAAACATCCAGTTTTATTTATGGTTTATTTGACATGGACAGTGCACATTAATAAACATTATTGGCCAGTTTCCCAGTCAAGGATTAAGCCTAAGCCTAGACTAGCTTTGAGTTTCAATGGTGAATCTCCATTGATACTGCAATTTAGTCCAAGACTAGGCTTAATCCTTGTTTGGGAAACTGGCCCAAAATGTAAATGTGCCAGAATTATAGCCAAAATGGCTATTTTACATCTTTTGTCCATGGACCGATGTTAACATCTAGTTGATGAGACGTAGGTCATTTATTTTATTTGTTTTCATCTTGGTGAGGTATATTTATAGGCTAAAGAATTTTCTATGTACAACGATGTTAATCACACCGTCTATGGAACATTTAAGTAAGCTATTAAGGCAGTGAATTGGGTTATTAGAGACCTTTGAACTCTAACGTATAGTTACGATAAAATGCACACCATAGCAAACGTAAAACGCATTAAGATGTTTTCTTCTTTCGGGCATTACTTTAAAGACGGAATTTATACTTATACGATTTCTCTCAGTGTTTGAGATCGCTTTAGTCAATTAATTAGTAGCCTCTCTTTATATAAGAACTACAAAGCGGATAGTTCATTAATCGCCAATAATTTGGTGATGTGTTATTTTTAATAATAATTTTAAAAATGGGTTATGAAAATGCATAAAGTGGTTTCAAATGAATTTAATGGGCGGTTTGATATTTCCGTTTTGGATTAACGTCATTCTGGCTCCGCCCCACCCCTGGATGAGACGCTTGATGAACCATGCAGGGAGGGCGCCCAATCTGCGCGTCCCGATGCGGAGTTTGGAAGTGCGGAGACGGTGCGGGCAGGAGCCAGGAAAGGGATGCCACTAAGTTATATCGAGGTTGCTTTCCTGGCGAGGGCGAAGCGTTTACGACCTGATTAAATTTTTCTCTGTCGGAGTTCGTTCTTCCAGCGCTGCTCAGGGATATGGATCTGCTTTCCGTCAGACTCACCTTCTTCTGTCTCATCTTATGTAAGTCGAGTAAGTGATCATATTTACGAGGAAACTGATTTAAAGTACATCACCTATACAACAACATAGACCGCCGGCAGGGGAACGCACTGACCGATGTTACTTTACGCTGCTTTTTATGTAGTTATTTTACATAAACACATCACATACTTTCGATTATTTAATTCGGATTAACTGTGAAATTGAAATGAAGTTGTATTGTTTGTGCGCGGCTATGGGTTGGCGTCCCGTCTTGGGTTATTCCCTGCCTTGCGCGTACAGCTGCCGCTATAGGCTCCGGACCCCCGCGACCCCGCATAGAACCAGCGTGTTTGGAAAATTAATCGATGGATAGATTATTTGTTCTACTTTTAGCGTTTAATAATCTATAAGGTTACTGGCCTTGTGTACCATGCATGCAATCATGTAACAAAAGATGTTTATAGTATTTTACTGGTATTTTTAAGTCATTTAACTATTTCTTTTAACTAAGACTTTCTGCTGTCATTACCAAATGTGAAAATATCAATAATTGTATATTGTGAATAAAACATGGAAGACATATGTAACAGATTTTACTACGCTTGATCTGCCATATATGTATTTTTTACTTCTGTTTTATTGCAAATACAATAAAATACTACTAAAACATGCTTCGTAACTTTAGAGCTACACTGTATGTCCTTTCGTGGAACAGTAGTAAATATGGTTAGATGCGTCTCTAACTATTTAATGCGAAAGACTTATTCAGGTACATTTAGGCTAATCACTAGAATGTATGTTTGGAAACATGGTCCGTGCACAGCGAAATCTGCTAGCTTTCTGCTGCACTTGAAATGCTGTTTCCTCATATCATTAAATGTCTCGGTTTAAATGGTCGTTAATCTAATAAATAAATTGCAATGCAACATAAATTATACATCCGTACAAATGATCTTGAGACCAGTTTAAGATATTATCGGACATCATTTATGACCGGATAAAGACTTCGTTAGCTATTATAAAGCCAGATAGGTCTACATTTACTCTGTATATTATTTGACAGTTAGAACATTATCATTTAGTGTCTTTAAGATAAATTAAAACTGTATTTAGACTACATACTCTGTAGCACATAGGCTGCTAGTGTTTATTTTGTTGGCTTTAATTCAGTTTTTTTTTATTGCCTTGGCATCCATATGATGTTCATCTTTTGGGGAAATTTAAATTGATCATTTTTATTTATCATATTTTTTTTCTCTTTTCAGTCTATATGCCTGGATATTTTGAATGTCAGAAACTTAACTATAACTAAGCAAGGAAGGTGTATAAGGTAAATTATAAGACAGTAGAGTTATCACAAATCACCATGAGTACAATCAGTTCCAGTATAAATTTATATTCCTTTTCAGTTCTAGTCTCTCTTAATTAAATTGCATAGTGGGAAAAGAGCCAAGATCCTAGGATATGAGAACATTTGACAGGCAAAAAAAAACATTTATCAGAAGTAAAATGAAAATGAAACCTTTTTCCACTCAAAGGAACATTACATAAAATGATCCTATGCAATTTAAGTCTTCATCATGTCATCATCATATGTCACCCATCGGGTGGCATTTTGTCCTAGCGGTTAGCACTGTAGCATCACACTTTGGGTTCTCGACTCGATTCCTCTTCACTGGCCCTTGTGTATGGATCTTCCGGTTTGTCCCCATATTTGTACACATCTCCTCCCGCAGTCCAAAACCCTGCATTCAGCTAAAATGATATCTGTAAATTGCCAATAGAATCTGATTGGGAGTCTTCCAATGGACTGGTTTTCCTTCCAGGGTTCGCCTTGAGCTATATGCCTCCTCGGATAGACTCCAGGCTCGCCATGACTATGTGCTGGATAAACGGCAGTGAAAGCGGATGGATATCAGGTTCATTGTGCATTGTGTGCCTTCTGAAAAGGTCCCTGAAATGTTAATGTTCAAGGCTGGACTGGGATTAAAAATTGACTCTGGACATTAGCCCATACAGGCACCAGACATACATGCAATACTGTGCAAAAGTCTTAGGCAGCCAAAGAAAATGATGTTTATATGATATTCCTGTTGGTGTAAAACTATGCTATTACTGTATGCCTGTCAGAGTGTGTCAGCTTATTGATTTCAAAACTTCAGCTAAAATCTCCCCAGTATTCGCAGCGACCATCCAGTGCATCCATGTGTTTTTTGTTTCGTTTTACTTGACCACTAGCACAACCTTGTGTATCTACTAAATTTCTCCCTGACTTTTTTTAAAAATTAGTTCATTAATTGAGCTGGTGGTGAAATGAAATAAATACACGGAATGTCTGGGGTGCCCCTGAGGAGATGATTGGGAACCGATGTGATCCAACAAGATATCAGTAACTTTTTGAAAAGCAGAATAAATTATTACTAGTTTTTATTGTGTTACTCTTAATTTGCATATGTTTCAATTTAAAATTGTGTTTTTGTTCTGATCAAAAGTGCACTTACTGCTTCAGATTTTGCACAGTACTGTACATGCTTGCTATAGAATTTGTAGATCTCGGTGGGGGTCACCCACTTTGTTTTTTCTGAAGTGGTGGGGGGGTCCACACAAAATAATTTGTGCTGACTCACAACCCCATCGGTCCACTAGGAAAAGAGGCGGTATGCCAGATGGCCAGTCCGCCGCTGGTTTTATATATAATGCGAGACAAAGTAATAGCCTTGGAGACCACAGAGCTACATTGTTCAAATGACTATTTTTTTCTCTCCAGCAATTTGTAAGGAGAGGAGCCACGGACTTGCAGAAGACGAGCTCTTCAAAAAGCTCTTCATTGGCTACAACAAGTGGTCAAGACCGGTCTCTAACATCTCAGACGTGGTGATTGTTAAGTTTGGCCTTTCCATAGCTCAGCTAATTGACGTGGTGAGTCTCTGCATTTTAGATTCCAAATGCCTTTCATTAATATAAACCTATTTTTAATTATTCAGCTGACATTCGTAAACTAACAGAATTGTTGACAACACAGTGTATTGGAATCATTAAAAGACTGATAAATATTTGTCCTCCTGCTTAAAAACTTCTGTTCAAAATCTATCTGCAACTAAAGCCTTTTCAAAAGGTATTCCACATATTTAAAACCATGTCAGGTTGGTAGTGCGCAGTCTAACTGGGCATTCTGCCATACTGGCTGTTCACCCAATGAATTCACTGTACAGGGCTTCAGATTCAACCATGACAGGAGCTGTTGTGAAGAACCTCCCAATAGGAAGACATGCCTTGTGCTGTTCGCTGCTATGCCTTGTCGGGCAGCTTTTGTGGCCCTTCTGTTGACCCACCTGCCCCCGTTTTACTCGTCTCGATTAACTGGGCAGTTTCTCCATAGGATGAGAAGAATCAGATGATGACGACCAATGTGTGGCTGAAACAGGTGAGCTTCCGGGATTCCATTTAATCAGCTTCCTGGCAGAGCTGCAAAGACGGTCCACACCTCATAAAGTGGTTCTGAGTGGGGGACTGGCTGCTATCAGTCTCTTCTTTGCCAACAAATCCTGTCTTCCTCTGTATTTACTTCTATGAATTTATAACCCATCATGTTGATCCATCCATCTTCTAACAACTTACCCTGGATAGAGACACCCTGGAAGAGATAGCAACCAATCACAGGGCAATAATACTATCACTACTGCTACTTCTACTACTACTAATAATAATAGTAATATTAATAATAAGAATAAGAATACATTTTATTTATAGGCGCCTTTCAGGTCTCTCTAGGTCACCGTACAAAAACACATTACAGCAAACAATAGGTAACAAATAAAAACACATTACAGCAAACAATAGACAACAATAGATGAAACCAGGATAGATAAAATAGTCAAGATAATGGAAATTGCCCTACATAATGTTAATAAAGGATATAAAGTTCTATTACTAATAATAATACTGTATTATTATAATAATAATAATAATTAGTAGCAGTAGTAAGTTATTAGAGCTCAATCAAGTACCTAGGCTCATCGTGGTTCATTAATTTATTAGCAGAGTTGGGTAATTCAGGTCCAGAGAGCAAAAGTCCAGACCAGGATTTTGTTTCAACCAACCAGTTGAGTACTCTGTGACTGTGAGTCTTTATGCTCAACTGATTGGTTGAAACAAAATCCTAGTCTGGACTTTTACTCTCTGGACCTGAATTACCCAACTCAGTATATAAGATGTAAAACGTTCCGTAGGCCCACAAACCTTCAGTGTCTTCTTTACCCACAAGGAGTGGAACGATTACAAACTGCGCTGGAAGCCCGCGGACTACGAGAACATCACCTCCATAAGAGTTCCCTCAGAACTCATCTGGGTGCCTGACATTGTCCTCTATAACAAGTGAGTAGGTTTTGGGCTGATCAGTGAGTGATGAGTTGCATTAAAACTATATTGCCATCAACCTAAGGGGGCGGGGGCAAGGTTGTGTTACAATCAATGTAAAAAGGAACAGTGTACAGCACGGGTGTCAAACTCCAGTCCTGGTGGGCCGGAGCCCTGCACATTTTTGGGTTTCCCCTGATTCAACTCCTTGTGCTAATTACCACACAGTTCTTGAGCTGAATCATTTGTGGTGGAACAGGGAAAGAACATGGGCGTAAATCCCGGGGGGGATGGAGGGGACATGTCCCCCCCTATCCAAGGGTTGTCCCCCCCAAAAAAATTATTAAAAAAAAAATTGTGAAAAATATATGTATGTATACCTAAAATAATTCGATCTGTAAGTAGAAAAAAAAACAAACGCAAAGAATGCATTTAGAAACAGTTGAGTTCCCCCTCCCCTTCCTCACAGTGGTTTGGCCAACTGCCTGCTTTCCCAGTTCATCTCACCTACTCTACACACACGAATCAGGTGTGTGGCTCTGGCTCAATTAGTGTTGAACTGCAGTAAGTAGGGTATTTTATAGCTTGTTTACAATAGCTTGTTGCATAGTGCACTGCAACTAACACGCCAAAGCCGTTTCCCATGCATTGTTTTATTTGTGACAACTTGGCATAATGTTAACTTAACATTAACGGCCACAATTAGCATATTGTTTAGCTGTGCATTTACTAAATGAGCAATGTGCTACGTCCGAACTGACCCCACTGTATTTTTTGTATAATCAGTTTCTATTATGTATTTAAACAGTCATTTAAATTTTATTGTATGTTGATGGCTTGACTGTAAACAACATAACAAACAATGCAATAAATAGTTTTGAAGAAAAATCTGCTTTGTCATTGAACCTGAGAAAAACTTTGAAAATAACCATAATGACGCATTTTCCATGCTACAATAATAATGATAGAAGCAAAGTTTTTCATTGTGGGGACATATCTTTATAAGTACAATTTGATTGTATTATTTGTGTCCCCTTCAAAAATTGCTCATGAGAAATTTTATATTTATTGTCCCCCCCTACTGTTAAATGAAATTTACGCCCATGGGAAAGAACTAAGCTATACAGGACTCCGGCCCCCCAGGACTGGAGTTCGACACCCCTGGTGTACAGGGATTGAGTAGGAAATGGAAAATTAGATGTGCTCTGTAAAAAAAGTAATATATGGGTTCCAATAAACGTAACAGGGAATAAGAATTTAACTGATTTGGAGATTGAAGCAGTATAGGGTTATAGTGAATATTAAAACTGAATAATTCACCATTTATGATTGTCCTAAATGGGAGATTCCATTACCCCAGAGCCTGATAAGTATGAATGTGATGTGAATGACCAAAAGGGATCTAAATGTGTCTGACTGGGATGTAAAAACTGCACTTTTAGAATAGATTGTGTGAGTTAATGGTAAAACCAAAACTGGTTATTCCTTCTGCAACTTGTTTCTTCATACTAATACTGCGTGTAAGTATCTAACCTATAAAAGTTGAAACTTGTGTCAGCAGGTTTCAAGATAAATGCATTTAACCTTAGGGACAAAATACGTTTAAGCATTCAGCAGCTCCTCAATAGTAGCTGTTGTGCAGCACAAGAACTCTGTGATATGTTACCCTAGGACCTAAGGCAACGTAAGATGGCTGTTTGGAATGAACAACTTAATAACAAATGGGCTTTGAACATGTGCAACTCATGTTTAATTTATGTGTCTTCCTTAAGGATACATTCCTTTTAGAATAATAAAGCACAAACTCTTCTTTCTGTCTTTTGTTTTACTCTTTTAACAGTTCTTTGACTGTATTAATACATTACACATTAATGCACAACACATCACCATCTAATGTTAAATTATTTAACTGCATTGTTTTGTTGAGGCTCATAAATTGAAATTCACCTGAGCAAAAGGTTTTAGTATTAGTATGAAATGGTAAACTACAGAGACAATTATGGCATTTAAGTATTTCTTCAATGTTTTTTTCTGTATTTTATGCATAAGTAGGCTATAATTTTTAGTACATCGGCTGTTGCTCGTCTGTGGATCAAATAGACGCGTATTCCTGTTTTTCCCAGTGCAGATGGAGAGTTCGCTGTGACCCACATGACCAAAGCTCATCTCTTCTACACGGGAATGGTGCGTTGGGTACCGCCAGCCATCTACAAGAGCTCCTGCAGCATCGACGTCACCTTCTTCCCCTTCGACCAGCAGAACTGTAAAATGAAGTTCGGATCTTGGACGTATGACAGGGCCAAGATCGACCTTGAGTGCATCGAGAAGACAGTGGACCTGAAGGACTACTGGGAGAGCGGGGAGTGGGCCATAGTGGACGCTGTGGGCACCTACAACACCAAGAAGTACGACTGCTGCCATGAGATCTACCCGGACATCACCTATTACTTCATCATCAGAAGGTTGCCTCTCTTCTACACCATCAACCTCATCATTCCCTGTCTGCTCATCTCCTGTCTGACCGTGTTGGTCTTCTACCTGCCTTCAGACTGTGCTGAGAAGATCACCTTGTGCATCTCGGTCCTCCTCTCCCTCACCGTCTTCCTCCTACTCATCACTGAGATCATCCCTTCCACGTCACTGGTCATCCCCCTCATCGGCGAGTACCTGCTGTTCACCATGATCTTCGTCACACTCTCCATCGCCATCACGGTCTTCGTGCTCAACGTGCACCACCGCTCTCCACGAACCCACACGATGTCACGCTGGGTCCGTTCCGTTTTCTTGGGCTCCATCCCACGCTGGCTCTTCATGAGGCGTCCAGCCGCGGCCGAAAGGCGCCGCCGGTGTCTCTTGCACCAGCCGCCCCGTAGCCGCAGCCAGGTGGCGCTGCTCACTCCCTCCCGGAGCTGGCTACAGGAGACCGATGTAGATGTCTGGGATCCACCGAATCCATTTCCCCCACGATGCCTGGAGTCTTGTTCTTCATCTCCACATCCCTGCTCACACCACCAGCCAGACTGTGGAGTCCCTCAGTCCCTGGGTCTCCGGACAGACGCCCCGCAGCCCCAAAGCACCGGCACGGAGCCTCACCTCGCCCCCCCTTTCTCACCCAGTGTCATGCGTGCACTGGAGGGAGTCCAGTACATCGCAGACCACCTGAGAGCAGAAGAGGCTGACTTCTCTGTAAGTGGTCTTCATGGGGCCACAGACCTCAGCGTACACCAGCTGTGAAACTTTGAGAAAAATTTCATTAAATTAATTCAGAAACGAACTGCAGTGCCACTAGTAATGTATCTATTTAGTGTGACTAATTAGTATTTGACTTTCATTAAATGAGCTCCCTATCTTTCTTTCATTAGAACGTTATCATTATATTGATGAGTAATAACTGATTACTTTACGTATTTCTTGATTTTATTTGCTCAGACAGCATAAAATTACTTCAGCAGTTTAATTTACCGAACCAGTGAAAGGAACCCCTTATCACATTTTTTTTTGTGTTTTTTTTGGTTACTCTTAATTATTTTTCTGCCCAGGTGAAGGAAGACTGGAAATATGTCGCCATGGTGATCGACCGCATCTTCCTGTGGATGTTCATCCTTGTGTGCCTGCTGGGTACCATTGGGCTCTTTCTACCACCCTGGCTGGCTGGCATGGTCTAGGAATGCAAACTGCAAGCATCACAGGCACTGAGGGCAGGGCAACAGTGCTGTTCCACCACTGAGCACAGCTCCCCCTTGAGAGAACTGCTGGTCATTACAGGGCATAGAAAACTTAAAACATAAAAGCCCATTTAAATTTTTTTTAGTAGAAACTCCCAGTCCAATTTAAATATTAGAGCTGGCATAGAATCCAAAAATCATTCTGTGGTACAGGATGTTTCTCTTTTAATTTACAGTCCTGTCACAAATATATTTTTAGTAAACATTACATACTTTAGGTTGGGTCGCTGCTGTATTTTGCACTTATACATTTATTTTTTAAAAATAATAATTATAATTATTCACATGTAAGCATTGTATTTTAAAGTTGTCGACAGAGTTGTAAATTATCTTGTAGTTTTGTGTGTTTCTATAAGTGCTTACATAACAAAATAAATGAATAATGACTAAGAAGGTTAATACATCCATATTCCAGAAATACATTATCCACTACGGGTGCATGGAGAGGTGGGAGTTTGTGTCAGGTAAGGGTACACCCTAACGGGGATACCAGGTGCTTGTATCATGGAGCAAGATTTGTTGGTTAGCTAGTTAACTTGTTGGATTTAAGGTACACCAATTTACATTTAGCCCAGACTACCTGAAATCCGACGTTATCGTGCAAACCCAAAAATCCAGCTTCGCGATACGGGCCCCAGTCCATCACCAGACATAAACACGCACACAGAATTATCCGCTACGGTCAATTTAGAGACACCGGTTAGCCTCACTGCACGTCTTCAGACTACAGGAAGAAAGTCACCCAGCAAGGCGAGAACGTGCAAACTTCACACAGCAAGCAGAGAAGGGACTTGAAAACTTGAAATGGAACAGGGCCAACTACTGTGCTATGCCTGAGAGGGAAGATGCAAACGGCAAACACACAGGGCTCTTAAATTTAATACAGCTGAGTGGTAAGATATGATGAGATGAAGCAAATGAAAACACACTGATGTTGATAAAGATTTAATCTCCGAATATCTCCCCATCTAATTCTGTAATGCAAACATGCCAGTCAGTCACAAGAAATGTCAGGTGAGACAGAAAATCTACTTCAGACACTGACGATGGTTCATGTGTGAATTTCATAAATATTCCCATGTGAAGCCAATTCTCGTGTCAGGAGGAATATTCTCTTGCTTATTAACTTTTAATTATAACATGAACATCTGTCTAGAGAGCAAATATGTGTGTTGCACATATCGAAAATATTTTTTCGTCAAAAATTGTTTCATTTCTAAATAAAAATATATTTGACCCATTACAGTAGGTGATTGCATAATTATAAATACACAACAAACATTGTAGGTGTTGTAGTATATAAAGATATTTTAACTTGTACAGATGGTGATTAAAATGTAAATTCAGGGGATTCTTGTTAAAAAATGCATTGTTTCTTTGCACAGGATGTGTGAAGCAACTCGAATTAATCTGTTATATGGAGCATATAGTACACAGATCGTATATACTCTCAGAAAAAAAGGTAAAAATTTGTACCTTTGCTTGTCACTGGGGCTGTACCCTTGTAGTTGTACCTTTTAATGAACATCCCAAAGGTACAAACAGCATTAATGTACCATCAGTGGTACAAAAATGTTCATCAGAGTCTATTTCTGTACCTTAAAAGATATAACTACCTACAACTAAGGGTACAATTGGCAGACCTTGAGGGTACAGCCCCGGTGACAAGTAAAGTTACAAATTTTTTTTCCCCTATGTAATTACGTAGTCTATATTGTTTCTGATTACCAGTGTTAACCAGCATAGAGAGCATCAAGCAAGGCACTTTAATCCTGGTTTATTTATCATTCAGCTCGCAGTTACAGTAGCATTGCGGCTAAGGCTATGAGCTTATAACCTGAAGACTGTCAGTTCAAGTGCCACTAGGCTATTGCTGTAGTAACTATGAGAATGATTCTTCACTTGAGAAACAATGCAAGGAAACAATTGTATGTTACTACAGATACAGGTCACAGGCAATTTAAAAATATGAATTTAAAAAAATTCAGCTGTTCAGTAGTAATGAAACAGCCAAATGAATTATCCTGTTCATGCATTTTTTTTCATAGAAGCAGTAATAACTAAGTTAATATAAGGTAACAATTTGGTTTTGCATAAATATTGTTGCTTTTGGTTTCCTAAATTCCAAAAAAGGCTGAGGTGTTTTTATTGTAGCTATTTGGAAAACGAAAGTTCCTTACGATGAAGTGTGGACTTAGCTTGCGTCAGTTTTTTTCACATTTATAAGACGACAAAGTCATACGGGCAAAATGTCGGCGAAGTGCGAATCCACAGACAGGCAACTGTTCAGTGAGACTTTCACAACTCATCTAATAATATGCAATAATATGTCAGAAGTAAAATGTGTAAAGTAAAAAGGAAAATTTCGACTAGCTCATTGAGCTCAGGCCACCAATCCCCAGCTAAGGGAACCATCGAGGCAGTTCGTGTCCATCTGAGGAAGCTTGCAGGCTTTGATGGGTGCTAGGAGGTGGCAGGCTTGGCTAGGTTGGCCCGCACTCGAGACTGGTCCACAGCATCCAGAAGGTTCTTGGAGTCCACAGCTAGCGTGTGGGCAGCGGCCAACATCTGCCTCTTACACTCCTCCTTCAGCGAGGTGACGGCGTTCTGCTGCGCCAGACGCATCTTGGTGATGAGTTCAGCCATGTCTTTGTTCAGCAGCTTCTGCGTGCCTTCGATCTGAATGAGCAACAGGTGGCAGAAGCAGAAGATACACCTTAGGGGTCTCCTTGACCCATTTAATGACGAAGCCAGCGCGTGATGCGACACCACAGGATCCCTCATCTGTCAGTGACTCACTAACATCCATCTCGTAATTATTGAACATCGTTTAGAGGAAAAGGAACAGCACTTGGTTTTTCGCAGGTGGAATTCAGCTGCAGACTGGAGAGCAGCCTGAATCACAACATTATTCACACCTTGAGAAAAAAAATCTTTGATCTCAATTTATATCCCAAAGATAATTTAAATGAATCACCTGGGTGTTACATAATGAGAACATGCAGGGCTTTTTATGATGTTTGGATGCTGCTTGTGAACATGGTAAACGGATGGTTTTTATCAGAAAAGCAAAATACCCTTATCATCAAATCCAGTTTAATGACCTACTTATAGATATTTATGCAATAAAAATAAGTACATTTAATATCTATCAATTATTGTGACAAAAAATGATATCTCAAACAGCTGAGGTGAGAAAAATAACTGACTCTATGGCCAAATGTTGCATAAAACGCTGACAGAGATATTTGAATATTAATAGAGCGCTAAGGGAAATTGAGGCGGGTGCTAGACATGCCAGTGGAAAATTAAACTCTGAATGTGAGGAACAAAGACAGACAGGGAATCGAAGGCATGAAAAATCAATGTAGGGAAAGTCTAGTAAGAAACAGTTTTGATTAGCTACCTCTGTCCTGATGGAGTCGTGGAGCGTGGGCAGAATGTCTTCGATGCTGTGACTCAGACTACGTAACGTCAGTCCTACCGACTGAGAGAGAAAGACAGAGACTGCAGTTAATACCTGTTGCCAGACCAGTTTCCTCTAGGAGTCTACGCCAATCAGCCATAACATTAACACCACCTGCCTAATTTGTGTAAGTCTGAGCTCTAACCCATCATGGATCTTGTGGAATCAGGCATGGATTCCACAAGACCTCTGAAGGTGTCCTGTGGTATCTGGCATCAAGATGTTAGCAGCAGATGCTTTAAGTCCTGTAAGTTGCAAGGTGGAGCCTCCATGGATTGGATTTGTTTGTCCAGCACATCCCACAGATGCTCAATCGGCTTGAGATCTGGGGAATTTGGAGGCCAAGTCAACACCTTGAACCATGTTCCTCAAACCAGGCACGTTATCCTGCTGAAAGAGGCCACTGCCATTAAGGAATACCGTTGCCATGATGGGGTGTAGCTGGTCTGCAACAATGTTTAGGTAAGTGGTATATGTCAAAGTAACATCCACGTGAATGTCAAGATCCAAGGTTTTCCAGCAGAACATAGCCCTGTCACCAGCTGGCCTTCCTTGGATCACTTTGGTTGGTACTGACCACTGCATACCAGGAACACCCCAGAATATCTGCCATTTTGGAGATGCTCTGACCCAGACATCTAGCTATCCCTGGCCCTTGTCAAAGTCACTCAGATCCTTAACTTGCCCATTTTTCCTGCTTCCCACACATGAACACGTGAACTGACTGTTCACTTGCCTAGTATATAATGACACCCTTGACAGGCCATTGTACCGAGATATCAGTGTTTTTCACTGTTATGGCTGTTCGGTGTATTTTTAAAGACCTTTACTTATTAAGAAGGGTTTCTCTTGGCCCACCTTGACCACATCCACATACTGCGATGGCGGTAGAGTGTTGACCTCATTTTTCAGCTGCACCACGGCCTTCACCAACTCGGTGACGAAGTGGTACACCTGATCATCAGAGCGATCCAGTTCTGCGGTGGGGGGTTGCTGGAGGCAGGTGGTGGAGATAAACATGCAGATGTTGCACCTCTTTATTTTCACACAGCTTATTACAGAGCAAATTTAGAACAGAGGACTTGATATCCAAACATAAATGCTGGTGATTATCATTAACGCAATTCAGGTAATGCACCTCGCTTGAGACCAATAATGACAATGATTGTGCAAGAAGGGTTTTAACATGGAACCATTTTTGAATAAGATCAGGTCAAGAACAAGTATCTCATCTGAAAGCCGCAGAGGCTCATGACAAAAACATTATATATCATGGCCACATTTTACCAATTTGTTCCCTTGTTTTAGTTCAATCCTGGCCAAGTTTTACTAATTTGTTCCTTCTGTTACATGTCGTAAGTACTTTGGGAAGGTGTACAGGACACTGCCCCATGTTCCACTCGTTCCACTCGCCTGCTGCAGCATCAGCCCGCCTCCCGATTCCCAGCCACGCCTCTTCTGCCCTCTGACCCTGGCCCTGTGTTCCGGTCGACAAGGAGCTCAAGCTCTGTCTTCTGCTCTTGCTGTGTTGGTTTGCTATTTTCTGATTGACTCTTGTGTATGACTGTTTGGTTTCCCGGTTTCTGACTTTCTGCTTCGCCCCTTTTGTACCTTTGCCTTCGGTTTGTTTGTCTTCTGGTTTGAACTCTTGCTTAGCTCCTGACTTTGCCTCTCCCCTTCGGATACCGTGTTTCGGCCTGTGTGATTTCTGTACATGTCTGTTAGGTGCGTAAGGAGTGACTGCCTTTTTGTTTATGCGAACGTGGTGTTTACTGTGGTTTTGGTTAGGGAGTTGGATTTAGTCTTCGTCATTTCGTTTTCTCTTGTTTTCGTGACCTTTAGAGTTAGCTTAGTTTGGGACGTGTTCGTTAGCTGTTTTGGTTGTTATTTTGGTGTGGGTCACTCCCGAAATTTGTTGCACCTCGTGTTTGTAAACGTGTCTGTGAATAAATATAAAAAACTACAAAAAAAGATCCCTGTGTTTCCTGTCTTCCCCTCTCCCTTTCCCTTACCATTCTGTCGATCCTCAACCCAAGACTGGGGATCGTAACACTTCATTTTAGTTAAATTGTGGCCATGTTGTATTAGTCCGTTGCCACACTATATTAAAACATGGCCACAATGTATATATGTATATAGTTTTTATCATGAGCGGGTTAACGTAAAACTCCCCTAAACGTAATTTACTTTGAAAAAATCATTTTCAGAATGATCAACAAGAGTAAAGGTACTCTGCTTAGATAAGCTGCAGTATATTCAGCAACTACATTTCGAGAATAGGAAACCACCAAGTAGATGTTACTGCATTGTTCCATGGTGTTACCTGTACTGGAACCTCTGCTGGCTTCTCTGGAAGCTCTTTAGATTCAGCTTGTAGAAGTAGTGGTGACATAGCATGGAAAAGAGATGGGGAATCGTGAATGTTTTTCGAGGACAGCAGTTGGTATCACAGAATAGCAGCTGGTTATTCCTCTGCTTTCCGTTGAAGTTTGTGGGCCCACAGATAAACATGTCTTCTCAGTTAACAGGCTCCAGGACATAATTTTAAACCACAATGACGTACACAATCAACTCAAAAAATTGAATCTCAACATTGACTAACAGGCGTAAGCTAAAAGCATAGTCCTAAAATCAGTCATTCTTTTAAGGATCAACAAAAAGCCATTTTATAAAACATTTTAAAAATACAACAGGGTTAATATAGCATTTGGATTTCTTGTTGTGGATTTTTTTGTAAATTTAAACCAGAAGTAACAGCAGTGACACTGGCTGACAGAATTAAAATTGATATTATTCAGAGCTGAAAAAGCTGCATCATCTGTTTATTTAATATCTAGGATCAAAATGTAATTTGACTTCGAACTCACTTTCACCTGACTCTTGTTCTTGTGTCTGTAAGAAAAAAGACATTAAAAGTTAAGCACTTACTAAATTATTTAAATAACATCCACTAATTGAAATAAACTCACTGGACAGTTTGTGTTACAAAACAGGCAACTTACCACAGGGATTTTCACATCCCCTTGAGCTATGGGATCCTGTTAGAAGCAAATCAGGATTAGCACTGCGATACTTAATTAAAATGCTGCCACTTCTACACTGTTCCAGGAACAACGAAAACTGCCATTTTCATTACTCTTTGGGCAATAAGCTCCTAAATGTAAAACAAGTCATTTTTTCGTAAAGGTAGCTAGATTGGCCTGAGACGCCACCCACTCAACCCAGATCCACTGACCTCACCCAGGCCTCCTACTGACACCAAACCCCACCCTCTCACCAGAAGCTTCTTCTCCTCCTCCAGCCACTTGTTGTCCTCCACCATCTGCTGCTTCTGCTTCTTCAGCGTCTCCTGCATGCGCTGCTTCTCCATCTCCCACAGTCTCTCTTTGCTGGGCTGCTCCAAGCTGATGTCCCTCTCCTAGCGCAAAAAAAAAAGCAGCGACGGTAAGAGGTGACCAGCATTTTCTGACAGCTCACACTTTCATCATCAGGTCGAGACGTCGCTGTGACACTCTTTCCCTCTCCAGAAATTCTGTTACATTATATATGAGGAATGCTAATCAGCATTCATATCTGTCACAGCATCACTAAACTTTACATGAGTGTCAAACTGAGAATGAATTACAATTATTGTTTCAAGTTAAAGTACAAATCTTTACAGTTGCTTTGAAATGTTATTTCTGTAGATATACACACTGCTTATGAGTCCTTGAATACTAACATCTGGGGGTAACAAGCATAAAAACCTGAATATTGTTTGCTGTATAGTGTCAAATGAGGGGATCGATACATAGTGCAGTTTCAGATTACAGGGCAGAGAAAGACATCTTTATCTTTGGCTTTAGAATTTGTGTCACATAATTTTTAGTAGTAGGGTGATTCTAGGATTTGTTAAGGTGGGAGGGCATTAGAGGGGGCATAACTGATACAGAGAGGCTAACATTATCATTAGCCAATTATATGATATTACTCTGTGAGAAAAGGGAAGAAGCCACTCTGGGGGCCAATCAGCTTTCAACTGCCCTTGTGGCCCCGCCCATGTATACATCCCTACTAATAATGTATAAATTACAAATACAGAGTAATAAATTAATCACAAATAAAAACTGAATGCAACAATAAGAATTTCTTGGAAATCTGAAGACCAAATACAAAGAAAATCAATAATAAAGAACATATTTTTATTTTGATTTATAAGTGTCATGACCTGCTCGCACGATCCTCGTGTGTGCCACGCCCCCTCATTACCTACGTGTGCTATCCCGATTGTGATCACCTGTTGCCTGTTATTTTCTGCTTATCTTATGTATTTAGTCCGCGTCTGAGTTTGTTTTCCCCAGATCGGTCATTGATGTTTGTCGCCATAAAAACCCTATTACCGACTTCACGGCTTTGCTGCCATCCTGCCCGCTGGGCGATCAAAACAATAAGGATTGGTGCTGCCATAGAGCAGAAGGTGACTCACCCCTACACTGTGGCGGCGAGGAGAGGTTGGAGGCACAGTTAAGAAGCCGGAGTCGAAGGCTGACTGGTTACCGTCGGGGCTGCTGAGGGTAGGGGAGCTGACGCACAGCGACTCTGGGACCTGTGGGCCAGACAGCACACAGGCCCACCTGGGATTATATACACAGCAGAGCACCAAACGCAAAGCACACAGGTGAAGAGGCTTCGGATGGACAGACAGACAGCGATAGACCGAGATAGATCCCAAAGGAAACTTCAGAATAAAATGTTGTGCTACAGTGCTGAATGTCCATAAAAGCATGAAAAAATAACACATTTACATTTACCACAATGAACATGCTTAAACATTTAAAAAAAAAAAAAACATGGTGCTACTGAAAAAGCAGCCGGAAGTTTCCAAAAGCGGGTTAGACGTGACAAAAGACATTCGAACTGGCAACCTTCCAATCACAGGCAGAGTCCAAAACCGCAGAGACACGTAACAGAGGAATTCCCCATCATTAGCGCATCCATAACTACAGGATGGTCATCACATTTAGTATAGCGGAACACAAACCAACTTGTGCTGAATTCATTTTGATAAATAATCCAATTTTTTTTTCATCTTTCATTTCCGTTTCTCTCAATTTATTGTCCTTACAACATGCTAATTACAACCTGCCAATCACATCTGTCAGATTTTGCGTGCATTTCTTGCGACAATTTTCTGTATCCTGTAAATCCTTGGTGTCTGGAATCCTGCAATATTTAAAGAAAATGTATTTAAAATATGTGTATAGAACATACACCAATCCTAAATTAGCATTAAAATTCTATGAATATCTTAGCTGCTCTGCTTCGTTAATGTAACTCCCACTATAGTTGTCCCGTATGTTGTTTTTCCCCTGCCTACCTGTCTGGAGCTAATCAATAACGCATTTCACAGCATTTTGTACTGAGTATAATTGAATGTGACAAACATAACTTTGAGCTTTGAATATATCATTTATGCACATAGCTATTTAAAGACAAAATTGGGTTCATTCATATTGTTGATTCACATCACACTCTATGATATAATTAACGTTCGAAGAAAACTATCATTTATCAACCGTGTATCCTGTGCAGGGTCACAGGAGGCCTGGACACTATCCCAGCAATTGCAAGGCACAAGGCGAAGGTACCGCTACACTGTTACAATGCTAATTCATCACAGGGCTCGAATACACACGCATACACCAAGGGCAATTCAGAGAGGCCAGCTAGCCTAACTGCATGTCTTTGGACTGCAGGGGTTCCGGGAGGAAACAAGCTCAGCACGAGAAGAACAGGCAGCTGCCACACACAGAGAACAGAGGTGAGGTACGGAACTCTCAGCCTAGGGGTGGGAGGTAAAAACCGCACCCAGTGAGCTACTGCGCTGGCCAATAGGAAAGCCCGAGAGTAAAAATGTTACACATGTAACAAGGGAAGGAGGAAAGGTATCAGGGTACCTGAGAAAGGAGACTTTTATTTCCAAGGTTTTCAAGTTTCGTCCTTGAAGGCTGAAGATCAAAGATAGAAACGTGAGACTCAATAACGGCATTCCATGCAGCACACAGTGCGGCTCATCCGACTCCCACCTTGGGCGGAGGTTCGCAGATGTTTATCTTGGTGTCTAAAATCTTTGTGATGCGATTGCGATCCCTCTGCCTCTCTGCCTCCTGCTCCTTCTCCATCTTCTGGGCATCACTGGTAACAGCAGGCAAATAGTTACTCTTCTTATTTGGGTAAGAATATAAAACAATTAAAATATTTTGGTGGCTTGAAATGTTGAGATCTTCTCCTGGCAATATCGGTATAAGCATCAAGCCCGCATGGAAAAGCCACCTTCCTTCTGAAGATTCTTAAACTGCATGCTGTGTAAAGCTCAACATAGTTTTCCTGGTTATGTATCCAGTTGTTCTGATGTGAAGCTTCGAACCTTCAGCTCCTGTGTGTGTCGGCATGTATATTACAATGTGGGGACCAAACGTGATAACATTTGATAAACACCTATTATTTTGACCTTGTGGGGACATTTTTTTCCAGTTCCAACAAGGGGAAATTCAATTTTATAAGAACTTGTGACTGCAATCAAAAAACTAAAACAGCCAAAGTTCTTGTATTTAGTTTGGTTACTTATGGCTAAGGTTAGGGCTGGGTAGGGGTTGGGGGGGCATTGGGTGTTCACCCCATGTGTGTGGTTTTCCTCTGGTCTCCAAATCTCCCAAAGTGTGCGTGTATGCTTGGGAAGGCTTGGCATCCTATCCAGGATGTCCCCAGTCCTGCCATTTACTTTGTGGCTCCACATTCACTGCAGCCCTTAATGGATATTTATGGCGTTAATGCTATAATATGATAATATGAATGCTTCCTGTCTCCTGCATGCTAACTATATAAAGTTACTTACATACCTGCTTATTATTGCCATACACATACATATATACATAATGACCTGCTGTTAAGTTGAGCTGTCTTTATTTTCCTTGATTGTTCTGCACAACAACTCAAAGTAAATTCCTCATGTATAGAAGTAAACCAGTGTTTCCCAACCCAGTCCTTTGGGAGACAGTCCACGTGTTTGCTCCCTCCCAGTTCCCAGTTCTTCCACTGCAGGGTCATTTTGGGGAGGGTCTGGACCCAGTTCCCAGGCCAGTCCTCAGGGATCCCTAGCTGGTTCACGTTTTTGATTCCCTCCATCTCTCTGCCAGACAGTCCACATTTTTGCTCCCTCACCTACTGGGAGCTGGGAGAGAGCAAAAACTTGGACTGTCTGGGAGTCCCTGATAACCGGGTTGGAAAGCACTGAAATAAAAGACTGCGGTTGCGATAAGTAGTCATGCTAGATGAAAATTTATGAACTGCATGCCGTAATAACGGAAAGGTAAGAGTGACGGGCGACGCTACCTGAGGATGCACACCAGCTCGGTGAACTTCGGCCTCTCCTGAGGGTCGTACGCCCAGCAGCGGCACATCAGCGTGTACAGGGTAGGCGGACACTCCTCTGGCTTGGGCAGCCGGACACCCTGCTCCAGATGGTTGATCACCGCCTTGTTTTCCAGCCAGAAGAAGGGCTGCTGGCCACGGCTCATGATCTCCCACATGCACACCGCTGGGAAGAGGGAGAGGGGACACCGATGTGTTGACCCAGGTCTGGGCAGCATGTTCAGGTTTTTCAGTCGGTCAGAGCAATTAAGCGGTATACTAAAATAATTATGCTGCTGGGAATTCTCATTGCAATCCTCTATATTATTATTCCTATTTTTTAATCTCAGACATTTGTCCAGGTCAGGGGTCCCGAAATGGGAAACTTCGGAACAAAACTGAATATTATCTTAAAATAATGCATGACTGCCCTAAGTGAAACTCCACCTGGCCCCACAGATGGGTAGTTCAGGTCCAGATAGTCAAAGTCCAGACCAAGATTTTATTTCAACCAACCAGCTGAGTATTCTGTGACTGTGGCTCTTTATACTAAGCTGGTTGGTTGAAACAAAATCTTGATCTGGACTTCTACTCTCTGGACCTAAATTACCCACATTTGTCCGGTCCCGATTGGTAAAATTTAATGGGAACTAAGCTCCCCCCACCCCAGCCCCCCCATGGATCTTGGCTTGTGTGATTAATGGAATTTGGACCTCTGGGGAAAATACTTGAATTCGGTATATGTCAATTAATCCAAAGATTTAAAAATAAAACAAATAAAACACTTATTGCCTGATTTTTTTTATTCACAATTCTGACATGTTTTTTCTGGTTTGATTAAGCCAGACTGGGAAATGCTTACCAAACATCCAGACATCACTTGCTGAGCTAAACCGTCTGAAGTTTATGGATTCCGGGGCCATCCATTTAATAGGCAATCGTGACAAAGAGGCTGCAGAGAGAATAACAAGAGATGGTGTAAAAGTGAAAGGTAGGGAAATTTTTTATATTTTATCCCCAGAATGTAATATATATGCTTAACCCTCACACAGACAGCTCCAATTCTCCATTACATTATTTTTCAACTTTAGAGTGGGGGGGAGCAGGGAACTGAGAGCAAACCCTACAATGATATGGGGAGAACATGCCACAGCCAAGGGGCAGAGACTCAAACCTTGGGCACAGAGATGAGAAACAACAGCGCTAACGGCTGTGCTACCATGCCACCTCACATATCACTCCCCTATACAAAATTACAGATAGAACTTATATTGAAATACCAGAGTGACTCACCTTTGTAATATTCTTCCTCAATGTACCGGGACAGCCCAAAATCCCCAAGCTTTACACACTCTGGTGAAGCAACCAGCACGTTCCTCACAGCAATGTCTCTGTGCACATAACATTATTACACAGATTACCCATTGCAGCGGAGGGGTATACAGCCCCCTGAACAGCAGAAGAGAACACTGAAAAGCAACAGGAAGTTACAAAGGTCAAAGGTCAACCATTGGATTGGTAAGCAGGTACCTCACTTCCAACGGCATATCGAGAGTAACGTGATTACCTATAAGGACAAACCCTCAGGAAAGAAATTAACAGACTATGGGGGGCAGGTTTGTAAGTTTGTTTGTGCTTAACCTCGACACCACGAGTAAATGCAGACTACCAGGAAAAGTAGCAAAAGCAAAGTTTTAACAGTTAACACTGAAAAACATCTCCTCATGCTGTCCATGTTTGAACATTACCCAGCGGGTGAAGGAAACGCTTGTGTGTTACATCACGCCTTTCTCTGTTTTGTCCTTTGGGCCTTGACCTTGTTGTCAAAATGCCCAGAAGCACACCCACCTTAAGAGGACCTCATGAGGGAAAAGATAGTCAGATGTTCTCTGGCATGTTCATATTGATAGCAAGATTTTTTTTGTCCGGCAATTAAAAGATTGTGACAGATGCAATTCATAATTCTATAAAACTAGTAAATATCCTTTCTTGCATCGTTATACCTTTTAATAACTGAAATGGTAATAAAATGGATCTGTTGTCTAAAACACTTCAAACCACACACTGCGCAATATCTCCTTTGCTGCTCACAGGAAAACCTCACAGAAAACAGTGCAACGGCATTCATATGAAAACCACACATAATCAGACTTAAATAAAAACGCGATGCACATGCTGACACAGTATTGAGGATTAAATGTAGTTCTAGGCAGAAGACAGTGAGCATGTTAAAATAATCAGTGTTTGCAGGGTAGCAGCATACCTGTGTACCATGTGTAGACCCTCTAAATAGGCCAGAGCTTTGCAGATCTGCATGGCGTACAGCACCAGTGTAACATTGGGAAGATTGGGCTGGTTTTGCACCAGGTATTTTCCAAGCTAAAAGAAAAAACCAGATAAATTATGTGCTGATGATGACCACCTATTTGCATCTATGTTGATTTTGGAATTCACACACACATACGTGCACGCGCGCGCATGAACACACACACGCACACGTTTCTAATACCTTTGTGGGGACTCTCCATTCATTGCTCTGGGGAAAACTCTAATTCCAACACGATGACCTTAACCCCTACCCAGCCCTAACCTTAACCATAAGTAACCAAAGTAAATATGAGACTTTTGGCATTTTTCATTTTTTGATTGCAGTAAGAGGTTTTTATAATATTGAATTTCCCTTGTAGGGGCTGAAAAAATGTTTTTTATCTTTGTGAGGATATTTGGTCCCCACAATGTAATGTATATCTGTCCCACACACACACACACACACACACACACACACACCGCAAGCCTGAAGCATGTGGTGACAGTTACACCCACAGCATTAGCATGCCACATGATCTTAACAGCAGCTTTGCAGTTTCCCATACAGCTCTAATTTTATACACTATACAGCTTTAAACCAACATAACAATAAATGACCGTCTGCAAAGCATACTTTAAATTATCCAGTAAACACAAAATGAACCCCATCCACATCAGGAACAGATTGACTAAGCTTCAACATTAGTTTAAATCAGTGATTCTCAAATGTTTTCTGTTAGGTCCCCCTTTGTAGGCAGTTGACCTTTCATTCCCCGCCTGCTCCCACCCCGCCCCCCGTGCACGGGTGCACATGACTGGTATGCAAGTATGCATTCGCCGTATGAAGCGATACGTGCAGAAATTGTCGTAGCAGCGCAAATCCGTATTTATATTACGTGCATTTGCGCTGCTATGACAAGAAATTACCATGCATTTGAATCCTTACATAATTAATTTGTACTTCCTGTGTGGTACCGCGATTAAAATGGTTAATGTCATAACAGCAAATGCATTATAGACAAAATGGGACAGATTTTTGCTTAATTAAACCCGCCATCGGTTTTTCGTTTCTCCCCTAACAAAAATCTGTCCATGTTTTACTTAACGTTTGCTTCGCTGTCTGAAAAAAAACCCCAAAGGCACTGATTGGTATTGCTCCCCCTTTAAACACGTAAGTTAAACTTTGGTTCCGATACACATTTTAGCACACTCCCCACATGGGATTTGTGGTGCTTTGCACGCCCCGGTGACACGGCACTCCCCAGGAGAGGTGCGCCACACGCATTGAGAATCACTGCTTTAAACAGTCAGTTTCTTAAGCTGGATATTTCTGCGATGAGCTGTTTCATCCAAGGCCCTCTAACCTCTCCATGCCGGCATATTTCCATAACAATCCACACGGGGTCCTCCTCAATAATCCCAATTAGTTTCACAATGTGGGGATGATCCAGGTTCTTCATTGTCACTGAAATGCATGTTTGATTAATACAAAGAGCACAAGTGGATAGTAATGGGGGACAATCGCTATAATATTTCCCAAAACCTATAACTCACCGGCTTCGCTCATGAATTTCTCCTTGACGTCCATGGAACAGTCCTTGCAGGTCTTCACCGCTACGCTAATCTTCTCTCCTCCAGTCTATGTTCAAAAGTATGTTTTCCAGAAAAAAAACATAGAACTAATATTTAATGAAATTTGTTAAAATAACTGACACAGAATGAAGTCCATTCATCCATATTCTGTAGCCACTTGACCTATTCAGGGTTGCAGGCTTGTTCTGGAACTTGTCCTAGAGGCTACAGGCACAAGGCAGAACCCATCACATAACTCAGAGTGGGGCACCAACCCATCACAGGACACACTCACAACTGCAGGCAGTTTGGCAACTTCAATTAACCTCAGCATGTTTTTGGGCTGTGGGGGGTAAACGGGAGTAGGCTACTGGACAGAAACCCCACGGTGACAGAGAGAGAACATACAAACTCCACACACACAGAGCCAAAGCAGATACTTGAACCCTAGTCCCAGAGATGGGAAGCAACAGTGCTAACCACTGCACCACCATGCCACCCCTAGAATGAAGTGGATATTTCATTTTTCATATTCAAGATGATTGAAATAATTGAAATTGGATCAACACAATTACATGAAGTGTACTTGCCCGCTTTTTATAAACTCCTTCATGAACCTCTCCGAAGAATCCCTCACCGAGAATTCGGCCTATGATGATATCATCTCTGGAGATATTATACTTGATCACTACAACGGGAGAAAAGTTTTCCTGATATTCTTGAATGAAGATCACAATTTCCTGCATTTCCAAATTTTCAGGCACTAGTATGAATATTAAAATGTGTGCGTTTATGTTTTTCTGCGTGCTGTTTTACAAAAGGGTCTGTATTGCCATATTGTGCAAATGTAAGATAAAGGATTGTTTCATTTGATTGATTTCTTTCACTTAGAAAATGGGCTTTTTCATACTCAGAGGGGCTTGCAAACACTTGACCCTTATGCCAAACTAGAACAGAGATTCTTTACCTGCTGGTTTCTCATCTGGTATTTCATCATATATGTCAGACTCTACAACAGAGCAGCGCAGAGCATAAAAATCAGGCCATCGACACTTATGGAAAAATAATTTACATAATGGCTAGCAGAGAATTTCAAACCCACCTATGCTGTCTTCCAAATGATGCCCTTTAGATCCACCTTTGATGTCACTGCTGGAACTGAAATACAAAACCGATAATAATGGATAAGTCTCATGCAGGTCATCATGCAGACAGAAACGGATCATTTAGAAATAAAACGTTTTTGTCCTGGGATAATTACTCACTCTGTTGGAATCTCTGGTAACATGTTTCTTATGTCCTTATCTGAGGAAAATAATTATTTAAGTATAAATGTATATGAATATATAAGAATCATTATTGCAACTGCTTTTGCGTTTGTTTACCTAAAGCCTACTCTCTAATGACATTCAAATTGAAATGAGACTGTCGTACCCTTATTCTGTCTTACGATGACGGTGCTTTTCCGACCGCACTCGATTCGACAGTATCCGTCGATTAAGTCGGCCATGCTCTCAGCCATCGCCATCGTCACTATGTTGATCGACAGCGGCTGAAAAGTGACAGAGGGATGCGTCTTCAGACAGGCTTTCCACCAACAGCAAAGCAAGGCAGTACTCCAGTACTGAGAACCGCTTCCACGATAAACAACGCTTTATGATGCTAGCTTCAATGTTCTTTCATTCATGGAAGAATAAACAACAATAATATCGAATACTATCTGGTGTAGAAGTATAGTGTGAGTCTAGAAGTCTTAAATATACCACACTCATAAAAAAGACAGATTTGCCTTACTGACAATAGGTAAGTTGTAGTGTAATTGCAAGAGTCTTAAATATACCGTATTCATAAAAAAAGATGGATTTGCTTTTCTGACAATACGAATATTAAAAGTATTACTGGAGGTTATTCCTTTACTTGACAGATGTTTCACTCCTAACAAAGGAAAAGAAGGTCATCGGTTTGACATTGATGGCATTTACCTGCTTGGCTCCGCTGATCTCGACGTGTAAGTGTGCCTTTCCATCAGCTTGTGGGGAACATTTAATACTAGTGATCTGATGGAATTCAGCCAAGCAAACCGGCTGGAACAAGAGCAACAAACTTTAATTGTAACACTTTTCACACACAAGAATACATTTTTCAGCTGATTTGTGAAGTAGATCATTTCATGAATAACACATATAACACACTCAAGTAGTAGTTTTGTTTTATACTTTTATTTTCTTATTAACTATACAAATCAATGTTACATATACAGTACTTGTCAAACTCTGCTACTCAAAAACAAAGTTATTCTGAGTGATGACTGCCCATTCCTACCAATAAGTTTTTCTGGGTACGCTGGCGGATTCCTTTAGCACTAATGACCAACTCCACTGCAAGACTCCAACCTTGCTGCAAAGTAACATTAAAGAACCATCAGCATAAGCTCATCATGTACGTGCAAGATGTGAAAATCGCATTTTTACTTATGGGAATTTGCAATACAAAGTTATGTACAGTGTACACAGAAAGTCTTGGGACGCTTGCTTAATTCAGTAAAAATATTGCAAATTTATGGGTTTTATAATAAAAATCATTACTTCATTCATTTGTTTACATGTATCATATTAAAAACAACCAAGAGTTTTAGAGTAAAACATTAATTTCAAGTACTAATAAACCTAAACCCAAATTAAGCTGAAAGCTCTTCTGAGTTAAAAGATTCATTGACAAGCATCATTGGGTGCTTTTTAATGAGTAACACCTTTGCAATAACATAATAGTAATAATTGATACTTTATGGATTCCCATGGGGAAATTGTCTTTATGCCTCCCTCAACTTGCTCTTTTTTTGTAGAGTAAGTCATCCACAAAGGGCAGCTACCCATAGCAGCACCCAGGGAGCTGGGGGTTAAGGGCCTTGCCCAAGGACCCGTAGACGTGCTGAGGCTGGGTTTAAACTGGCGACCTTCAGATTACAGGCACACAGGCTTAGCCCACTCAGCCACACGCTGCCCCATATTTGTGTTTAGTATCCCTTTGAGAGCAAGTGACTTTTATTGCAATTAATAGCAAAATGGGAAGAACAGAACTGAATGACTCAGTCAAAAAATAAATAAATACATAAAAAGAAATTGTTTGTATGGAAGATATGTGCAGATAAATTAAACATTATCAATGGACTGGTTATGAAACCAGTAAATTTGCAACATTATTACATAATTTAGCATGTGTCCAAAGGCTTTCAGGAGCATTGTATGTCTAATCCTCAAGCTGCACAGTGCAACCAGACTCGTATAACATCTAATGGAAGCTTCAGTGACTGTTTTTATAATGATGACAAACTTACAATCTGGTTTGTAAGATAAGATTCTTGCTGGAAACTTTAAATCAGTTAATAATTCCTGTGGTGCTAAATTTAGCTCTACACTTGAAAAAAACTGTAACACATTGCTTTGGTTAAAAGCACATGGTATCGTCATTGTTTCTATCAGTCATCACTCTGTTCTTGAATTAAATAGCCGTTGACTCATAATAATCCTACAAGGGTCATTCTGTTAATTTAGGTATCTCACCACAAGCTCACAGGGATACACCTCCTCATCAAAATTAGAGAAGCTGCTCAAGATCTCGAAAAATTTCAGGATGCAATCCTCCTCCTTCAGCGTGGCGTACTTCTGGAACGTTTGCTGAATCGACTTCCGGAGTTGCTTCGGCTGCATTAGATATGGAACTCATTGATCATTAAGTGGTTGGCCAAATTCCCTAATATACAACTGAACAGTTCTAATGTCTACAATCCCTATAGCCAATGAGGATGGCCAACCAAGCATTACCCTCACAGTACTTGTTCAAGTCCAGAGAGTAAAAGTCCAGACCGGGATTTTGTTTCAACAAACCAGTACTCTGTGACTGTGACTCTTTATGCTCAACTTGTTGGTTGAAACAAAATCCCAGTCTGGACTGAATTAACCAACTCTGTTCAGGTTAGAAGCAAATACAATACAATGCACACATCTGCAAATACCCCTCAATGACTCCTTCATTATGTACAATTCTGTGATTAGAAGGTTGTTGTTTCAAATCCCAGGGATGACAGACTGATGCCATCGTTGGGCCCTTGAACAAGGCCCTTAACCCCCAGCCCCTGCTGACCCTGTGCTATGACCCCCAAGCTTCTGCTCAGATCTATATGTATCTGTGTGTCTCATGGAGAGCCAGATGGGATAGGCAAAAAGATAATTATAAAGAGAGATTACAGAAGACAAAATGTTTATGACTTTACCTTCATAGAGTTAATAAGTTCTCGAGGAAAAAACAGGTCAAGGCCAACCTCTTTTCTAAAAAACACATAATGCAATATACTTTTCATACATTGCAAAGACAGCTGTTATAAGAATATCAACTTCATTTGCACTGCTGTTCTTCTAATTTTCATTAATTGTACTAATACGGAAAACCAACACATGCAAGCTGAGATATACATATATGGGCTTACGTTAAAAAGTCCAATACTCACTCAAAAAAATCAAAATTTGACTTTTTCTCCAGGCCACTGGCATTCATATCTTTATAAAACCTCCTGTTTAAGGGACAAATTGCATATTTTACAGATGAGCTTCCTAGATGTAGGCCATAACTTGACACTAAATCAGTATTAAATATTCTCCTCAGTCTCTTTATATTTCTCATTCTTACCTTTATACAGTAAAACATATTTTATTATTTATATTTTGCTTTAATACTACCAAGCTTTATTTGGTATTGCTAAAAATGTCATTACCTGATTTCCAGACAACCTAATTGAAAAGGCAAGTTCTCGCTGACTTTACCGGTGCAGCTGTGCATGTAGTCACCACGAACCTGAATTAGGTACATTAAACGATTAATGCATCACAACGTCCCAGACATCTGATTAGCTATGGATGATGTGGATAAACACAGTATATTTGACTTTAAATGAAATAGCTCGCTATAAATAAACCACATAACTCGTCACATAATTCCAATCTTCTCCAGGAGTCTGATTTCCTTTTCTAAAAATGTTGTAAGAGGAATTGAATCACAATGACCCTACTGAAAATTGATGGAATTTTCTTCACAAATTTGAATGAAAAGTAGCAATAGATTGTGCATTACAATGCTCTTTTTGATATCTTATGAGAAAAACACTACTAACCTGGTGATAGAAGTACAGCAGCGTTGTTCTGTCTTCTCGAAATTTTGCTGCGAAATTACTTGGAATGTAACGGATCCTCAAATCAAATCTAGATATTCAAAATCAAAAATAAATAAAAAACAATTTTATTACATATAAAATGAGACATCTCTAATGGCAACAATGTTGTCAAGCGTTACAAAATTTTACTATTAATTTTGGTTTTGTTAATCAGTGGATATTGATGATGATTATATTTTCATTACAACAGGTAATTGATCGGTAATCAGACTCATGCATGGCATGTTTGATTATGTCAGCTTATCCATGCACAGAAACGAATATTATATTTCAAATTAGCATACAGTTTTGAAGTGCATTAAGCAAAGACTGTGACAAAAGACCTTGAATTTACCCCCAATGGATGGAGGGAGATTAGCTTGACTTGAGTTTTGTATGTCAGCAGTTGGTGCTTATGCTTCCTATATGGCTACTTTGTTGAAATTTTACTGAGAATAAGGTAGAGCTGGTGTGGATGTTAATAAGAGGGGCCTTTGGTAATGGTTTCCCTGCTTCCTGGTTAACAAGAAGCCTTTGGGGACGGCACACAAGATCTTATTTTTGCAAGATCTAAATTACAAAGAGGGGGTTAATCTTAAGTAAACAACATACAGTGGTACCTCAGTTCTCAAACTCATTATAACTCGAATGTCTTAAAAGTCAAACCAACCAGTTCGAAAAAAAATTACCTAGAACTCGATCTGAATCTCAGAAGTCAAACTGTGAACGTCGACCTAAAATAACTTGTGCGCGCGAGGAAATGAGTCACGCGGCACGTCTCTCAGCGGAAATAAAGGGTAACGCTTCAGTCTCAGCCTCGCATTCGCTGTGATAGCATCATGCATGTTTACACTAGCTGAATACATATATTTAGATAATAAAAATACATTTAGACAATGATAGACAGTAACAGTAGTTATTATTATATAATAAAATACATTTAAAAATAAAGATTTCTTATTCATTATTTTAATATTAATAATAAACCATTAATACATTTAATTATAATAATATTGTCGTGCCGAGCGGGGGCGGAACGGAGACAAAGGCGCAGACGTCAGGGTATCGGGGAATACGGGGTTTAATTACAGGTAAGGCAGGCAAAACGCAGACAGACAATACAATGACCGGACTGGGGAAACAAACTGAAACGCGGACGAAATACAGAGGACTCATGACAGCAACCAGAAACAGCTGATGACACAGGGATTCCACACGGGGTTAACGAGGGGGCGTGGCACACAGAAGGAGCAGACGATCAGGGCAGGTCACATTGTTTTTTTTAACTTTACACATTGTTTGGATACATTTATTTTCTTACTTTACAAATTACTGTTTTGATAAATGTGCTTAGATGTGTTTAGTACAGTATATGCTCTTCTTGTTTTATCTGGTTCATTTTGTGTTTAAATGCTTAAAAAAAAACATATTTAGGTGTAATTTTTTAGGGCCGGGAAACAATTAATTGGTTTTCCATTATTTCTTATGGGGATCACAACTCAAACTTTTTAGGATTCGAGTTCTGAGGTACCACTGTATATAACCAAAAGGTTGCTAAGCAGCAGAGATGGGAAATAGAGCACCAGGGGGATGCTTTCAGCTAACTACCCACCTCCACTCCGACTCCAGGTTTTGCTCCTCATGCATCTGCTCCACGTTGGCCACGGTCATGTCGGGGTGCAGCCAGTGCACCGTGTCGGACTTCAGGTGCCTCAGCAGCAGCCCGTAGCAGTTCGGGAAGAGGATGCCGGGGCCCAGCCGCCCACTGGCCAGGATAGACTGGATGATAGCCTAGGAAAGCAGTCATTCTCGGGCTTGGTCACAGCTCAGCACAGCCCACCTCTGGACTGAGGCCTCCTCCACGCTGAAGCTTACTTAGCTTTAAGTAAAGAAACTGCCAGTCTAACATAATAACTATAAGAGAACCATGTGGGAAGGAGAATAAAAAAACTAAGGTAGTGATTTGTAACTCAAGATATAGTACGGAGGTCCTCTGGTGACATATTGCGTGGCCAAAAAATAATTAAGTGGTGGCCACGAGACAATAATGCGTGACCACGAGATTTCCGAATGCCTGGAAACAAATGGACAACTTCGAGAGTAGATAAATGTAAGTATAATTTTATAAAGAAATTATAATTTTTTTAATTGATAACATAATTGTGAGAAGACACATGTTAACTTCCTAAAGGCATTATCGACAAGTGCATTAGACCAGCGTACAACATCCAGGAAATTTTAGTCGTTCCCACGCCTTAAGAAAGACATGGCCACCACTTAATTATCTCGTGGCCACAAAAATATATTTATTTCTCTGATGTCACCAGAGGGGCTCCGTAATATCCTCCTGAGACCCAAGGAAAAAAGTGTCCTTCAATTGTAGCTTATTTGTCTTTGGAGGAAATAAGACATCTTACAATTTACATTTTTTCAAATTTATTCTTATTTTAATTTCACAGCATGTCCTCTTTAGTGCACAACAAGAATAAATACGTTTCCCAACGTCAGTGAAAAAATAAATGCAAAAATACAATGTCTAGTACAATGGACATAAATGAATAGATCGGGTCTCAGGAGGATATAGAACACTGTGCTAACAGTGCAAAGGTTGTGGGTTTTAATCTCAGGGAGTCTACATAAAATGTAATCCATCCCTCTACTATAAATTGCTTTGGATATGTGTCAGGTAAATGTAACTTCCATCCATGCATTTCCTGAAACTGATTGTTCTATTAAGGGTGACGGGGGGTCTGGGTCCTATCCCAGAGGCTATGGGCACAAGGCAGGGGACCACCCAGGATGGGGCGCCAACCCAAGGCAGGAAATGTAACTTAAATCTGAAAAATAAGCTTCTTGTTCTACTGCTGCATAATGCTGTAAAAGTGGTAAAGGTCTGCAAAACTCAATAAGTTTCGAATTTTGTTAATGTAATGGTTAAACTGGTATTTTTGGCAAGTAATTAGGTTCATTTTTATCAATTCTTTTTATCATTACAGTATTTCCAAATGGATGTTTGTTATCTACATAATTATTATAGAGAAAAATCAGAGTGCTGTCTCTTAAGGTCTGATGTGACTTCAGAAGAGTATATGATACTTTTAATCAAAATCAGTTTAAACCCTAATTTAAATGTATAATAATAGTCATTATATAGCTGTGTATAATGCAAATATTCACTCAAAATAAAGGATAATAATAAAACAAAATAATATCACTAGAATTTTATTTAGAAATGGAACTGAACATTCATTTTGCTAATACAATCATCATGAAACTTTTTATATTTGGCTAGCAGCAATACATTAGCTATAGCCTATAGGTTTCTCCTTCTACTTCAATTACCCCCCGAGATGACTCACCCTGATCTCCCATGTGCTGTCGCATTTGACCAGTTTGAAGTTCTTGCCCAGGTTGGAGTTGCTACTGACTAAGCAGACTTTGAGGATTCTGGCAGATGTACTGTCTTTCTGTGGGACTGTGTCCAGTTCTTCCTTTTGCATCTCCTTGCCGCCAGGATGGCCTAATTTCCAGTACAAGGCATCTACAGACATCTCCACACTAGTTGTTTAAGGAACTGCCACAGCATAGCTGGGGGGAAAGTTGGAACAAAGTTGGTAAGCTAACATTCATTTGCTATCAGTTTCAGTGTCTGGCTTTGTGTGCTTGTGATTGGAAGAACTTGGGTTCAAATCTTGCGGTTGGCAAAGCAGTTTCACCAGTGGGCCTTTAAGTAAAGCCATTAACCGCCAATTGCTCCAGGGACTGACTGACCCTATTTCTTCAACTATACAATGTATTAGATGAAAGTACCTGCCAAATATGCAACAAATATTAAAAACTCTACAGAGATCCCCACATTGGTTGTTATAGTGACTGCCACACTTCATTTGCAGGAAAAGCTGTTACAAAACTGACATGCTGTCATCCATTTCCATAACCTTTTATAAACTACCAGGTTATTGTGAGTATGAATGTCATGCCCAGAGGAAAACCATATGCCACAAGCCAGTCTACTTTAAGGACCAAACCCTCACCCATCAAGGGCAACTTAGAAACACCAATTCACCCATTTTAAGCCTGCGGGAGAAACTCTGAGCACCTGGAGAAAACGCCATAGACAGGGCAGGGAATCAAACCCAGAGCCAGGGCTGTGAATCAAACCCAGAGCCAGGGCTGTGAATCAAACCCAGAGCCAGGGCTGTGAATCTCTGGGTGTGTGAAGCTACAGATAAACCCCCTGATATACCAAGTGAGCTGCTAAGCTAAAGCTGCTATCAAATGTAACTTAGCTCACAAAACACAGCTCGTTTTTTTAAAATGTGCCTATGAGCATTAATGAAGATCTTCTCTCAGGCAAATTATGGCAAGATTGCAGGTTCGAATCCCCCACCAGCAAGTCACCACTGAGGTACCCTGAGCAAGGTACCGTCCCTAAGCACTGCTTCCCGGGTGCTGAATTAGCTGCCCCCTGCTATGTCACGAAAGTCACATATGGGTCAAATGCAGAGGTCACATTTCGTTGTTGCGCACTGTGTGCTGTGGTGTGTTGACAATGACCACTGATCACTTAATTCTTACAATGAATAAAAAAAAAAAAAAAGTTGCCTGAAAGTGAAAGATACAGGGAGTCCAGGGTTAACAACATCAGACTTATGGAGAACTTTCTTACGAACAGCCTGCCTTAAAGTCTATTATATAAAAAATTTGGCTTAAATACAATGGTTATTAATAGTGAACCCACACACTACTCTGTGACACTCATGAAAACATTGAGCTGCTTCATGGTTCGTTAGCTCAAGGTACAGTACAGTACTATATGTAGTAACTTTTATTATTACTATATACATTATTATTATTGTTATTATGTACTATTTTATTTCTGACTTGCCTACAAATTCGTCTTAAAGATGGGCTTAAGGAACAGATCTCATTTGCAACCTCAGGACTGCCTGTATATACCCTGTAAAAACTCACCCGAGATGAGAATGATCTGTGAACTTATACTTGTTGCAAAAATAGGGCAGCCTTACATTGTCTTCCTCCTTTCTATGAGGTGACACTAAAAATGAACCATTTCCTGGTTGAAGCAAGAGTGAGCTTCACTGCAACTCAGTGGAGGGACTATATGACTTGGCAGACCTCTTTATGAGATGTTACCCCATATGGGCATGAGTGTGAAAGCTAACGGCAACAACGATTCCTGCATGAAACCAGTTTGGAAAGACAAGATGGCTGGTGCTTGCAGGCCAGGACACAGCACTGCTGGAATTTCTGTCCAGTGCTTCTATAAATGAAGTTTACTTCAGATAAGAAAAATATGGACATTTCTTGGTCGATTTACATATTAAAAATGTAAAAGACGACAAAAAAAAGTCAAATTACCTGTATGTTTCAGTTCTTTTTTTTTTTTTTTTTTTTTAAGAAAATCAGTGTTATGAAGTTATATGACCAATTCAATTGAAAAGCCGAATTTGTGCAGAATTCAGTGATATATAACAAACGGTTTTTAAAATATATTTTGTGTGATATGCTTGAAAATATGTAGCATGAACAAAAAGACATGCCTATTTTTGCTTTATTTTTGCTTGAATAATTTTTTTTACTAATTGTATACATTTCTAAGTGTGTATGTTGTGCTTAATAATAAGTTATATAACAATCATTTTCTATATTAATTTGTTTTCTAGACTTCAAGAGCAGCAGGTACGAAGGCATCGGCTTACATGACAGTGAAGGACTGAATGCCTGGTGTCTGTAAATAGCAGGTTCTCAAGACAGAGCTCTTCTACATTTCAAGGCAACTGTAGCATATCCATTAATAAATACTGGTTCAACTGGGAAAAGCAGAAGAGGAAGACCCAGTATCACCCCACCTCAAGTGAAGTGGAGCCCAGTGTCCACAGCACTCCCTGAGATCAGGTTTGCCCTTGGGAGCCACTGGCCCCAGGCCAGCAAAGCCAGAAATGCAACAGATGCCATGATGCTGCATGTACAAGAAAAACTAAGTAGAACCCTAACCCTGCACGCAGTGGCCTGAGCCTTTGTCCCCTGGATGCTTTTGCAGTTCTCACAGAAACAGAACAGAGCATGAAAACTCTTGGGATTTTCTTATTTTTAATTAATTTGAAGTGCTGTTTGCACTATTTAAATTTACATGCATATGATTTTTGAGTTACTTATGACTTTTTTTTATACAATTTGATATTCTTTTGACTAGTAAATAGTAGCACTAAAGTTAAGTAACAATAAAATGACCATTATACTACTTTAATTGTCATTTGACGTGTTCATTTTTACCAATAAGTGCATTAATTGTGTCTTGAATAAAATTTCAATTTATGTATTTGATCATGATTCTGTTTTCGTGTTTATTTCATTAGAAATGTTATGTATTGTTGTAGTAATGCAGTATTGCTATTATAATACTTTTATGTCGTAATTCCATGCAGTCCACTTTTTAAAAAATCAGTACCATAATTCATGTATGAAAGGGTTAAGAATTCAAAGCTGGCATGTAAATATCACATTTGGTGTGCCATGAATGTAGTAGGGATGGCACGGTTCATGAAAAAAAACCGAACCAAACGGTACACTTGTCTCGGTTCGGAGCATGCATGCGTCGCACGGTTCGACGGTTCATGACATGCGCAATGTAGCCTCGTGCCCCGTATGTGACGTCAGTGTGTTT